CTTCACTTCTGGGGACTAGTTCCTTTCCTCCTTACTGTTCTTCAGGCACAGATAAAGGAGCAGGATCACATTTTCATTTCCATTAGGGAAAAGACTTTATCTCTGGAAGCTTCCAAATTATTTCCACCCTCTGTAAAAAATGAAATAAAATAAATTGTAAGGACTTCGGAGTCATGCACTTTGATTTTCTATGGCTCATCTCTCCTTGGAGCACTTTGCAGGGCAGGAAGAACCTGTACTTGGTCAGCTCAGCATTGAGCTATTTGCAGTTGCTGCAAAAGTGTGAAGTGGTATCAATATCCTTTGATTTTGTTTTATCTTTTTGACTTAAAACAAAAAAAAATCCAGCTGCAGGATTCCATACTGACTCTCCGTGGCAAATATAGCACAATATCTACAAAATAAGTAATGGAAATATTAGTGCTTTGGGGCCAGGGTTTTCTCTTAGGGCTGTGGTCCTGCGTACTCTGTGTGTTCTGCACGTAAACAGTGAGCAGCAGGAGAGTGTCTTGTGACCAGGACAAGGGGGGCTCTTTCTCTTTGTTCACTTGGGTTGGTTAGAAGATAAGGGGCAAATTTGCAATGACGCCCAAAGGTCTTCCTAAAAATAGAGGCTGGGGGAAAAGTACGGGGACGGAGAGGCTGCAGAGAGCCTCGGGCAGAGTCACTTCCTTGGAAGGGAAGGGATGCAACTGGTTTCGTTTCAGGATTTTTTTGTTGGGGAAGCCATTATCATTCGCCTGCTAGAGACTGATTGAGAAAAACAGCATCATCTTTTGTGTGCATCCTTTGTCCACAAAATTGTATTTGTCTTCCCTTTTTGTAATTCCCCAAAGACTAAAGAAATTAACTGGAGAGCTGCCTGGATGATGTTCTCCTGTGCACTCCATGCATTCGAACCGGTTTCTATCAAGTAACAGATACCAATCCTGTTGTGGAAATTGCAAGTGGAAACTGCAAGTCCTCTAGGCATCATTTTAGAGCACATTTTTGTAGCCTGCACATTGGGGTAAACCAGCCCCTTTTTCTCCCCTCTTTTCTTTTTGCGACTCATTATTGGCTTGGAAAATTTCTCGGTGAAGACAGAAATATTCTTTTACACCGTTAGAGATAATCTGCCCTGGCTTTTTCTTGCTGGTGGGAAAATAAAGGGGCTAAGCTATTTCTTTGTTTCAGTGTATGGCTGCAGCTCCCTTGAAGTTGAGGGTAAAAGAAATGTTCTCCCTAGTTACAGGTTTGGCAGTTGAGTTAAGCAGAAACTAATGTAAATGTCAAATACTTAGAAAAGTTGCCTGGAAAGAAAAAGAAAAGTTGCATTCTGTGGATTTTAATCTCCAAAAATAAGGATTTTACAAGGATATCACCTTGTGATAGGGTATTTCTGAGCCTCATGCCCTGCAAGCAGACAGGCTGTCGTGAGCCCAGCTCTATAACAAGCAACAAAGTCCTCTCGCCTCCTTTGGTAGGAATCAATCATCTCCTGAGGAACCCTATTGTAAATCCCATCGTAAAATCAGGCTTGCCAGTGGGTTAGAAAGGTGATGCTGTGACTTAATGAAAACCCAGAGCAGAAATGCAAGGAATCTTACTGCTTTGGTACTGAGACTGCACTTTGAAAGGCAGTTATTGAGACGGGGAGCTTTCAAACCACATGTTTTCAGTGGAGTGCTGTGGGGCTCCTTTTTTTAACGCCGTTTCCTTCAATTGTTTGAATAACGTTGCAAGAATTGCTTCAGAGCAGCATTGTTTAAGAATAACAACTGTTGCCTGGTTCCCTTCACCTATGGCTTTCCAAGCACTTTCCAAAGACCCAGCCGTCCTTATCTCTATTTATAGGGCGGAAAACTGAAGGGTGACATGATGTGCTCAGCATCTGTTTGTCTTTCTCTTGTACATCCTACGTCCTCCTTGGAAGGTAATCTCAACCCTGGCACTGCTGGGTGTTTAGTCCTAGTTTTGTACACTCAATAAATAAATGGATAATGGGAAAGGTGATTTTCTGCGGGAAATCAAAGCCCCATCTGCCAATCAGATATTGATGGGGTGCAAAAGAGATGAAAATCATACAAAATCCTGACTTGCAGGGGTTAATTTGGGAACAGATAATAATTCTTACCGTGTAAGACCACACAAACATCAGGTTTCAAGCAAACAAAAGGAACTAACTTGATATGAAATGTGGGTCTCCACACTCTTGTTGCCTGCCAGTTTGAACTCGTCAAGGGACAAATCCTATTCCCACTGAAGTGGGAAAAGTGACATTTTTATTATCCTGCCCTTGTTTCAGCAAGGATGGAAAATGCCAATGAGGCGGTAGGGGTGAGTGTGACCACAAGAGAAATTTCATTTTGCAGAGCTCTGTGCTGGAGAGAGCAGTGAGTTACAAACTGAAGTCCAAATCCTTGTGAGATACTTGCAGATTATTATTATCTGGGAAAGATGTGTATCCTTAACAAGGGTGCCGGTGTATTCTAAAATAAGGGAGTAAACCGAGTCCTTGCATTAGTAGAGTGCTCCCCTCTTGCTATCTTGTCATCTATGCTAAGTGTCCCAGAGCAATGATATATCCGAGGGAGAAATAGCAAATTTCTTAGATTTTTGTGCCTAGGATGTAACAGATTGTTAATACCAGCATCACAGATTTTACTGTTTGGGAAGGATTTTGTACCTCCACAGAGAGAAAAGCAATGATTTGCTCAGAATGAGAGCAAAAATAATGAAAGCATTTGTCTAGACTTGAACATCCAGACTTGTGCTCAAACTACTAGATAATTTTGCTCCTTTTTTAAGAATCTACTACAAAGAGTCATAGCCTTAATTATTTTCAATAACCCCATATGCTCCCACTGTGAGGAGAGTGTTTTCAGATGAAATATTAGGAGAAGCTGTAATGCCAGTGAAGCTGTCAGTAAAGTTCATGTGTAATAGGACTTTTTTTCTGCATTAATGGGCCACTTGCAAAGTGTTCCTAAAGGTTTCCAGAAAGATTTCACTTGACCTATTGCTAAAGATCAGTAGCATTAGGAAAGGGAGGTTGCCAGGCCCCTGAGTGCTTCACTTAAAGCAGATTTCCCTGCATTTTCATTAATGGAGAGCCCCTCTAGCCTGCTTCACCTGAGTGGTATTTCTAAGGATTTGGGCTTTCTGATTATTTGTATTCCATTCTGATCCTTTTAATACATTGCAAGATCCTTGCAGGCTCTTTGGTGTGGAGATGAAGTATGGGGAACGTTGCACCCGTATGTGACTGTCTTGTAATGAACTGTTCTGTCATACTGAGTGTCAGGGAAATTTGTCTTCAAATATAACTATAATAACACTATTCTGTTCTTAATGCAACTCTTTACAAAAAAATAATGAGAAGATACTCTTGCCTATTTATTATTTTAATTAAAAAAATAAATGAAAAGATATCCTTGCCTATTTATTATTTTTACATCTTTAAACAGAGAGAAGTTGATCAAAAGCTTTTGAGCCCAAGTGGATTAATTTCAGAGTTATTAAAAAAGGCAATCAAAGATCAAAAGTAACTTCATTTGGAGGAAGCAAGGAGGTTCTTCTGAACCTGTTGCCCTCAAAAGATGGGATGCTTCTTTCCTTGGTGTGTGATCGCTCCGACTTGTGCTTGGTTTATGTGTCCATATTTCCTGAAGTGAGGGTCAACCTGTGCTATTTGTAGGCAGTGGGAATGGCAATCCTGGTTTTCCCTGGCTTTCTCTCCAGCAACCATGCATTCCCCCATTAATTCCTCGCCCAGGCCTTTGGCTAGACCAGCCCTGGCCTAACTCTTTCCTCAGGATGGAGAGAAATTTGGTGGCATTGGGAAGCTTCAGGCCTGGGCAGATGGCCGGGCTCCCTGGTGCCCGGAGCCCGCGGGTACCGATCCAGGAACGGAGCAGCGAGTGATGGTGACTTCTACGAGGACTAAACGTAATTCTTTGCTGGAAACCAGGCTCGGCTACAGGGGAATGGAAGGGGAAATTGGTTGCTTCGTTTCTTCATCTGCCTCTGCTTCCTTTCCACCCACCCCTGTGTGTTTTTTAATATTGAAAAGATGCAACTGCTCTGCTCGGTCTTGAAATTGTCCTTCCCAAGATACTGCTAATTGTCTCGCGGCACCTTTTCTGCTTCACAGATGCGTAAGAAGATTAGAGGGAGAGGATGCAGTAATAGATTGGGTTAGATTTTAATAGGATTTGCAGAGGACAATGCAGAGTTTGAATGCCATAGAGAATACTGCTGCTCTTTGATATCCCTAAGGCGTCTTAGGTAGTCGTTCATACAGCCTCCGTGTCCTGCATTCAAAGCCAAGGCTCTCATTTTTCAATAGGGAAGGTATTTTTCTTTTTCAGAACAGCACCTAATTGAACATCTCAGTAAACTGGATGTTAAATCGCAATTTCCCAAAATCAGCGCAGCTATTTCGAACTTGTTAGGCTCAGTTATGGACTTAGAGAGCGGACTTTTTTAACAGCTGCCTACTACATTTCTAGTTCTGGGTGTCTAATGACATCCACAGCAAAGGATTTGTGATACATCTGCTTAAGAGTAGACCCGGACTCATCATATCCTCAGCCATATAAATGCAGATGCCAAGTGAAAAGCCTATCTCAGCTGTGGGGCCCAAACTCCCTGAATAATTAGTGGAGAGAGGTGGGTACCTCCAGAAGATGATTCAGCACATCCGACGTGAATTATCCCAGGAGACGTCTTTGCTGCTGACTGTGAGGGAAACCTTTGCACATCATTTAGACTTGCGTAGGGTTTAGATAGGCGGTGGTTAGCGCTCAGTGTTTTCTATTAATTTCTAAGTTTTATCTCGGTATGCACCCAAGAATTGAGGCAAAAATCCCCCTCAAGTCCCATTTGAAAATACTTGCTCATATATCTTTATTTTGCTCCCATTCATTCTCTCAGGTAAATTTCTGATGTAAATAGAAAATCTTTTCCTCTTTCCTTGATGCCTTAGACTTTATTTCTCTGTTCTGTCCAGCCCAGCCATGGCCGGAGATTCTAGGATCTTCATGAACCAGGACATGGACATTGGAGTTACATCCAGGGAGCCTAAGAAGATTCCCAAGCAGGCTCGGGATGATGTTCCCATCGCCACTGACCGAACCCGGCTAATATCAGTGGAAGGGAAGAAGCCCCGGCAGCGTTACATGGAGAAAAGTGGCAAGTGCAACGTGCACCACGGGAACGTTCAGGAGACCTACCGGTACCTTAGTGACCTCTTCACTACGCTGGTGGACCTCAAGTGGCGCTTTAATCTCCTTGTCTTCACCATGGTCTACACCATCACTTGGCTCTTCTTTGGGTTCATATGGTGGCTCATTGCCTATATCCGAGGAGACCTGGACCATCTTGAAGATGAGAACTGGATCCCCTGCGTTGAAAATCTCAGTGGGTTTGTTTCTGCGTTTCTATTTTCTATCGAGACCGAGACAACCATCGGGTACGGCTATAGGGTCATAACGGAGAAGTGCCCGGAGGGCATCGTGTTGCTCCTGATTCAGGCTATTCTGGGCTCCATCGTCAATGCATTCATGGTGGGATGCATGTTCGTCAAGATCAGCCAACCAAAGAAAAGAGCTGAAACCCTCATGTTTTCTAACAACGCGGTGATTTCAATGAGGGATGAGAAGCTCTGTCTAATGTTCCGAGTTGGGGACCTCCGCAATTCCCACATTGTTGAGGCTTCCATCAGAGCCAAACTGATCAAGTCCAAACAGACCAAAGAGGGAGAGTTCATCCCCTTGAACCAAACGGACATCAACGTGGGATTTGACACTGGAGATGACAGACTCTTCCTGGTCTCCCCCCTCATCATCTCGCATGAAATCAATGAGAAAAGCCCCTTCTGGGAGATGTCCCGCACCCAGCTGGAGAAAGAGGAGTTTGAAATCGTGGTCATCCTGGAAGGAATGGTGGAAGCCACAGGTAAAAACTTGCCAGAATTACCCAAAACTTTGAGGGGAGAAAGGGAAAGAATAGAGGCTAGTTTGGCATTAGGATGTCACATTAATGTCCCCTGGACTGGGAACATATTGGGGTTTTGTTCTTTTTCTAGTGACTCGTTCATATGGGATATAATGGTATCATACAGGTAGCAATTCTAAGGTGCTTTAGGTCATGATGCTCATGTCCCCCACTCTTTTAGGACCTGGATTTAGACAGACAGGCTAGACAAGGATCTGTCCCTAACCAGAATTGATCTGTGGGGAAAAAAAAAAAGGCAATGAGCTAAAGGAATTCATGAGGTGTCTCGCCACCCTGTTTTCTGTAATCAAAATTCATGGCTTAACTCTTTTTCCATTTCTCCTCTGTATTTAAAATTGGCAGTAACAGTGCTGCTTTAGATATTGCTGGGGAAGTGTGGTTTAATAGAGCCTGGGAAGAACGTGCCCGTATATTCCTGTATCCCATAAAACCACGTGTGAGAAAACGGCTCGACCTGCCTGCAGGACATGTATTTTCAGAAGAAGCTCAGGGAGGAGAAATGCAGAAAACACTTTTGTGTCTCTGGTGGGATGGAGTAGCTGTTTAATGGCATAAAACAATGCTGGGTCATGGATGGGTTAGGAGATAGATTTAGCTGATTCCCATTTCCTGACAGGGTATGTTAGAAGCCTGTATCTGTATTGGGTAAATCTGGAAAGGACCAAAGTGCAGGAGAAGCCTCTCAGGATGATCAAATGATTGGATCCATGGACCTCTAGGCTGAGTTTTGCACCTTATGCTCTGCTTTCTCACCTAAAAGCCATGGCACCAAGGGCTCCTGTTGCTGCTTACACTTCATTCGTTTATTCTCAGCATCAAGGAGAGGACGGGCAGGCTCGGTTCTAGCCCAGCACCCACGTTAAGCACCCTGAGAAGTGGGTGCTCCCCTTGGGCAGACTTTGTGCACCCGAGGGTTGTCAGGCTGCCTTGGTGGCTCCAGGACCTGGAAGGGGATGGGGCTGCTGGCAGCAGTGAGGAGCAAACCACAATCTAGAGATGAGAAAGCCTAGAAAGACTCATAGAGGCAAAAAGAGCTTTTTTAAGTAATTTTGCCCTGTGGCGCTCAAGGATTTTAGTTACAAGACAGGGTTGTGAAACCAAGATTACTTTGATGGTGGTAGTATTTTCTTTTCATCCAGATGAAATACTAGCGTGGTCTTTCTGTTGGATGCGAGTACTCACTGGTGCCGCTGCATTTTAGCCCTTGCTTACTATTAATAGCGCTGCTTCTTTGTGGTTTATCCTTGTTAGTCTCCTAATTGTCAGACCTAAGAGGAAATGGGCTCTCAGACTCCGGCATCGCAGGTCTTCACTCTTCAAGACAGCTCTTCAGAGAGCTAATTCAGTTTCCTGCTCCTTCCTTTTCGTTGTTAGATGTATCGTGGTAACTGAATTTTCCAGAGATAACGGGGGGTTATGCGGAGATTAAATTAGACCTAGATTGGAGCAATGTACTGCACAAGTGAAATGAATTCGGAGCTGCTAAGGGAGCTCCTAGGGCAATATTCTTTCCTAGCAAAGCCAGAGCTGAGCACGTCAACAGCTCACAAAAGTTTGACCAGGAAACAATATGTCTCATTATGCCAAAATCCTGCTCGTTTAATAGTGGTGTTTCGTTCCCAGGTTGCTCATTACAAGACTCTGTTGTCACATTAACCCACGTGGGTAAACTGCAGTCTCCTTCATCGTCAATAGATGGAAAATAAGGGTGCTGATAACGGCTTATTTCTCTGGGTAGGCGGCTAGGGGAGCCTTAAGCTGCAGCAGAGGTGGGTGACAAAGCTTTCAAAGGGCAGGATTTGTAAAGGAAGCTTAATTTGTTGCTTAAACAATTACTCGAGGCAAGAACTTCCTAATCCGAGCAGGGAGTGCAGTTTGTTGTTTGGCCAAAGCCTCTTCCCTTATCGCAAGATAACACTGCCAAATTTCTGCCTTCCTCTTAGAAAAGCTCAGCCTCCGCTGGAGATGTGTGAGAGGAAGTCATTATCAATAACAGCCTCAAAATTAAAAGCAGGGCATAGGAATCATATTGCTTTCTAAATGGGCTGCCGTCCCGGAGGGATTGTACAGGCCAGCGCGTAATGATGTTAAGGAGAATACATCTGTGGGAATGAATTATCCTGGCCTCGGAAGGCAGGCTGTGAAATTCCAAAGCGAGGCAGGAAGGAGCCGGTTTGCACTGAGCTCCGAGCAGAGTGGACCTCGGATGATGCCATTCCCTGATTCAGAAGCTTTGCTTTGCTGAATGACGTGCGTGCAACAGAGAGGGAGGTGGGGAGGGATCGGGGAGGCTGATATTTTGCCAGAAAAGATGAGAAAAAGCAATGTACAGAACACAGTATTTCTGCTTTGTCCTTAAACCTCCTAAGGGTGACAACCCAGTTGGGATATATGGATTGCTCCCTTTGCTCCAAGCGAATTCTTCACGTTCTCTCCTTCTCCTTCTCCCAAAACCATCTGCTTTTGGGAATGGCATCATTTATTGCAAGGGGGGCTCCTGTTACATCACGACACCGTTTCAAGCTGCTGGGAGCCAGGACAGCATCAAAATGTAATAGGTAATCCCTTAAAAAAACCCTATGAAAAACAGGGAAACACCATCCCCTATGGAGAGAGGAAAACGGATCCATTTATACAGCTCCATTCCTGATGCACAAGAGGGAAGCGAGTCCTCCTTGCTCTCCCCGAGCGGCTCAGGGATAAAAAGTGATGGAAACTTACCCCGACTTTACAGACAGCAACAAATCAAACTCCGAATACACCCTGTGCCGGTGAGGAAAGAGGCAGCTACATTTTTCATAGGATGAAAGCAGGTCAAACCTGAATGCGCTGCGATGGTTGACAACATATAAATGACTGAAGAACGTAAGCACCAGCAATCTCTGATTAAGATGGTCATTTTTTGCTGAAGCATTTGAGACAGAAATTTATAGCTATTTCTAATTGTTTTAATCAATTATGCAAATATTGGAAATGAGATGTGTTGTCTCCTCTCCGATAAGGAACTCTGGCTAAGGTCCTGATGCAGTTGAAGGAAAAGATGATAAATAGTTTCCAATGAAAAATGAGCAAGAAATTCTGCAGACTTGAAAAGCTTCAAGTCTTTTTCTTTAAAAAAAAAAGTGCTACAAGCTATTGTTTAAAATAGTGTTTTTGTTTCCAACTGACTCGATTTTCTGAAAGGGTAAATAACAGCAGACAAAAAAAGAAGCGTAGCAGGAAGTCTGAAATGTTCTGATTTGGCCCCAAAAAAGAAAATAAGCATTTTATTAGTGTAGCAACAGCTCTCCAGAGGCCCCCAGCTATTGCATTTGCTCACTCACAAGGCCAGCAGTGGCACAAGGCTCCCTGACAGGGGTCTTTGCAATCAGTATTTTAGCAGGGCTTTGGCAACGTGACTCATCGGGAGGTTAAAGGCACCAAAGGGGACCTCGGTTTCTGGGGAGATACGCAGTGATTATTCCTGAATGAAGTGACCATGGTGAAGGCAAAATCAATAGCGACCACAAGCTTGCTCTTTTTGGGCACCTTGAAAGCAGCAGAATTGCTCAGAGCTCCTGCTTAATGAATCGGTCACAGAGATCATTTTAGGGAATTAATTCTCTTCCAACTTACCTTAAAGGGACGTTTTCTAGACCAGCCGGTCTCTATTTGACCTCCAGTGGAAGAGAAGACAGTGCAGGTGGAAAATCTCTCTGCAAAGCGAATGTATTTTTTTGCTTTCAGTGCCTTTCCCGCGATGGTAGGAGAAAAATCGGAGGCAGCCACTTGACAGAATCGTGCTAGGCTGCTGTTGGCCCAGAACCTAGAGAGAGAAAAAGGGAGAGGTGAAATTAATACAGGAAATTGGGGTGCATTTAGCATCTGGCTTAGGTCGTCTAGTTGCTTTGCTTTGTATCTTGCATATAAATAAGTGTTCTTTTGTTTTTAAAGCATTGCATGTGTTGGATTGGTGTTTTATTGCACACCACAAATAGAAGTTGTGATGCTTATCATTATTCTGCACTAAAGGTATGGACGTAGACCAATCCAACCTGAAAGGAAGGGCCTTGCACAACTATTTAAGGTGCCTTTATGGCCATCACTGCCACTATGAGGTGCCACACAATATTTTAAATACCCATGGCAATACTGATATTCCTGGTATAAAGTAGGAGTAATAGATGAGAGCTGTAGAGATTCAAATTAGGCTTCAATATGAGTATATATTTGCATTCTCGCTTTTTAACCTGTTTGCTTCACTAATTCTGATGAATCTCGCCCAACTTCTTTGCGTTTTCTGTTCTGTTCCGCTGCCCCCTTGCATTTTTTCATTTCCAGTGCCTACGAGCTCTCCCATGCCCGGAGAACATTCAGAAAAATTAAAATCCCATTACTGTCCTCTGACATCAAAATCAAAGTGAATCAAGCCCAGACGTGTCCTCCTCTAAAGGAGACAAGCATAAATAATTGGAGAACCATGTTCCTACCTTCTAATATTCCTTTTGAAGTTGCAGGAATATTAACTTTTCGGAGGTTACAGCGTTCCTTGCTCTAATTAATGCAGAGGGACTAATGAATTTTGTAACTATCCAAATGTTGATGCTAATCTAAAGACATGTATTGCTTAATTAGACGGATAGAACTTAAAATTTTTATAACTACTCTTTGCCAGCCTAACTTGCATGGGGCTGCTGCTATACCTCTGAGCCCGGCAGTACTTTGTAGTTCTGTGGTGTAGGTGGAATTCAGCTCTGGGAGCAGAATGTAGATTATGCAGCTTTGGAGCATCCTCGACGAGGGAAAATGTCACCCCGCATACAATAATGCACGGAAACAAGGGCAGAGAAGGGAAATCTCTTCCAGCAAGATCTGTCTAAGCAGCACGGAGAGCCTCGCAACTACGGCAAACGCTCCATCAGCATCCACACGCTGCTCTGCCAGCAGATAAGCACTTAGAGCTGAGCTCTGTGGCATTTAAATGAGTGCAGTTAATTTTAGGCTGATGAAAAATGTTGTCTTGACAGCCCCAGGGGTCGGGATATCTCTGCCCACGGAGAAAATGCCGGCTGCATAACAGCACTGAGAGATAAACCTGGTGGCAATTCATTGGGTTGGTAGATCACGCTGCATGGTCCCTACTGCCCATGTCCTCTCCTGCAAAACTGCCAACGGGAGCACTGGTTTTGCGGGTACTTTTGGGGAAAATCCGTGTCCTCCAACAGCTGGAAAGCATCTGTCACATCGGCTCCGGACAACCAAGAGCTGCAAGATGCAATTAGGTTTGCCCTGTGATAACCAAGGTTGATTTTGAACTGGTAACCTCAGGGTAGAAAAGGCCTGGAAATCGGGAGCAATCTCCTGCGGAATTTTTCCATTTCTTAGCGCTGTGGCAGAGCCAGGAGCGTCTGTTCCAGTTGTATAATCAGTGGCATTGCGAGCAGCAAAAGGGTCTGAAAGCTGCAGCTCCCATTGAGGAGGAAAAATAGGCTCCTTCCTGAGCGAGCCATCAAATAACTGCTTTTCTTTGGTACGTATTAACATCCCTTTGTCTCTGAGAAAATGTAAGCTGCTTGATCTCAGCTCATTTTGATGACAGAAAGTGTCTTATTGGTATAATTCCCTGACACCTATTTTACACATCAGTCTTTCCTCGGTGCCTGTGCTTGAATGTAATGAAATGCCTGGATTTATACACACAGCAATATATTTCACATCTTTTCATCTGCTGGAAACTAGAGCTGAGCAGTTTACGGAGGCATCTCTTGCTGCCTTAAATAGGAACATGCACAGACTCTGTTATTGATCCTGGGTTGAAGTGACTCCAGCCAGCAGCCCAAATACCCACTTAGGATTCTGCTCTAAGTAAATTATCATTAAAACTCTGCAGAGGGTTTATTGCAGAACTTGAAACCGGGAGACAGCCCTGTGGTCTGCAGCTTTGCTGCTAAAAGAACCTGGAAGTGGCTCCAGGTTTATTGAAAACCTGGTGCATCTGCTTACAACGTTGGGCACTTCATCCTGGTTTCAATTAAAATTAAAATCTGTTTGTGTCTGCAAGTCAAACTGACGAATTCAAAGGCTGTAACTAAAAGTTAAAAGTTGAAGATTTCAAATATAATATCATATTTTTTTTTAAATTGACACAATGTACTTTTACATTAAGCTTTTTCATTTTAAAATTGGACTCTTTAGGAGTAAGTACAATTTTATAGTGGTCCTATATGGAAAAATCTATACACTTGAAATACAAAGTGTATTTTTAGTTGGCAACAAATGAGTTTTGAGGCATTTCTACTTCAACTTACAAAGACAAACGGGGATATTCTTTTCTGTATTTAAATGAAGCCCAAGACACCAAAAGGCATCTTGTACTTCATAGCTCTTACCTTCTCCGTAATAGTACCAAACATCTGCATTTTTAAACCCAGAACTTGTAGCTCTCTCCATTTTAACAAAAGGATGAGCAGCTTCTATCAGAACCGATGATAATATGGGGATTTTTTTTCCAGGAAACTCTGACAATTTGAAATCACCCTCAATTTCTTGCACTCTCCTGGCTGCTCTACAAGGGCAGCGTTGCCATGGTCCTGGACGGACCTACCTAAGGATTCGCTGCACCCAACACATCCCGTGGGCTTGGATCTCTACTATAAAGCTCATGAAATGAAATTGCGGATTTTTACAGGGAGCCCACAGCGATATATGAAAGATATTAGTCTCCTGAATTACTCTACCCCAGTGCAAGTTGCAACTTAGGCGTTCGGAGCACAGAGCGCCGAGCGCTTGCTGCGTTCGAGCATCCATGTGCTCTTAATAAAAGCAAGGTTTATTGTTTCCACACCTCCTCGGTCGTCTTTTTCCAGTCGCAGAGGCAATAATTAGCCGGTGTCATTACAGATGCCTTAATTAACCAGGCTGGAGAGCCCAGGGCAGTGTGCAAATGAATGGAATTTGCAGCGGGGCCGGTGCCGTTGTTTGCTGGGCGGTGTGGGAGCTGCCCGAGCGGCGTGTCTCCGAGCAATTAAAACACCACTGCCCATGTGCTGGAGAGCGCTATTTGAATGGGATTGTGGAGCAATTACAGGTTGTCTCATTGTGCTGGCTCCCTGGAGCCCTGGGGCTGCAAAAAGCAGCTACTGCAGGAGGCTGCCAGTGCTTGATTGATGGAGGCTTCGTGTCCTTCCCTTCCTGACTGGAAACCCATCACGGGAGGTAACTGGGATTGGGACTATGCAGTTTAGTGCTGCTCCCAAGTAAAGGAGCTGTTTCAGGTCAGGATTACACAGTAGGGGTTCCCTTTGGATGCCCCAGACCTTCATGTGTCATTAGGGAGCTGGTACAGGTGCTTTAAGGCCATGCTAAGATGAGCCTGATCTCAGTACTACGAGTACCGAGTGACCTCCTTTCCTGCCACGCTTTCAAAGCACTCGGAGACTGTGAGAGGCACCAAGACCTTTGTGAATTCTGGGACAAAACCAGCTCCTTTCCATAGTATCCATCCATGGTAGTCCAGGACTGAGCTGCCTTCGCGAGGGAGCTCTGCATGAAGGCGAGCGCTGTGGTGTCACCTGAAGCAGATAGCAAAGCCATCCCTGGGTGTCTTCTCCTCATACGCAGCTGACAGTTTCCTGAGAAGCTCAGAATAGCTCAAGGCAAGGACAGCCGGGGTAATTTTCCTCTTCCAGGATTTTATTTTTCATAGCAGCCTCTGCTCTTCCCGGTTGCTGCCAGTGCAGGAAGCAGACACGCTAGAACACCATGACTAACTCCGTACTTGCTGTTCCTGCCCAGAAGCAAATACTGCTGCAAATCCACCTTGGGGGGAGAAAAAATTGGCTTGTCAGCCTGCAGAAGAGAACTGGAAATTTCCCGAAACGTTGCGTGTCTCATTGTCCCTCGTTTCTGCTTTCAAGGACTGAAAGCAACTAGGTATTAAGGAAAGTAACAGGAGGGAAGTAAAGCCTTCAGGAAATCTTAGTAGCGTGGGTGTCTTCTAATGGATAGTAGCAATTACGAGAAGGAAATATTCATCTCTGCACAAAGGTGCAGATTTGCTCGTTATCTTGGGACTTCATTCACTTAGTCGGGCTCAGCTAGGTAGGGTAGACTATCTTGCACCTGACCCATGGGACCAATGGCACTGCTGGAGCTGACTTGGAATCCGGGGTCAGGGAAGGGAACCAGGTGCTTTGGTAGGGAATTGGGATGGATTTATTTAGGGGGCACATGGGTCAGGACTTGAGGTGCGTTGGAAGGGTTGGATGGTGTCATAGCACGTGATTAACCACAAGTGTCATTAGTTAGAGGCAGCCACGCAGACACCACCTCAACAGAGCACTGTGAGGCCAGAGAGAACTTGCTTAGAGGCACCAGACCCCAGTTGCATAAGCGCAAGGCTCGGGAAGCGCTCGGAAGACGCGGAGATGAGTCCACCCCTTCTCCTTTGAGTGCTCAGCTTGTTCAGGAGAGGCTTTTGTGAGGCTTATTAAGCGAAGAACTTTTCTGTGTCCCCGAGCAATCAGGTACGGAACTAACACAGAAGTGCTTTTAAAGGAGAGGAGTGCTGGGGTGCGCGCGTAATGAAGCTTAGCGTTTAACATCCCTCTCTTCCTGCCCAGGGATGACTTGCCAGGCTCGCAGCTCCTACATGGACACCGAGGTGCTGTGGGGCCATCGCTTCACCCCCGTCCTCACGCTGGAGAAGGATTTTTACGAAGTCGACTACAACAGCTTCCATAGCACCTACGAGACCAACACGCCGGTGTGCTGCGCCAAAGAGCTGGCCGAGTCCCGCCGGGACGGCCACCTCCTGGGCCACCTCTCCAGTGCCACCCTCCTCAGCAGGGGTAGAGAAGCAGGGACAGCAAAGGAGGAGGAGGAGGAGGAGGAGGAGGAACAAGAGAGGGAGGCAGCGGGATTGAGTGGAGCCAATGGAAGAGCAGGAGAAGGGAAGGAAGATGTGTCTGTATAACATAGAAACTCAGCTGGACAGTGGATACCGACATAAACTAACTGGGAAACTGGCCTAAGGAGACGGAATTGGACTGAGAGTGAAAGACCTGAGATTTATGCCCAGATTTCTGCCGACTGGCGAGTCGCTGCACATCACCGTGCCTCAGTTTCCCTCCTTTTATCTCTACAGGTTCCAAGCTTTGCGCTCATTGGCAAAGCGCTCGATTTCTACAGACAAAACTGTGATCACTGTTAAAACTGAAAATTAAGCCACTGGTTGTTTCAAAAGACCTTCTTTGGACAGCCCAAATAATCCCCCGTTGCGAGGGTATTTAAAAATCTAGAAGCTCCCATCACAGTAAGACGAATGTGGTTTCAAAGCGTCACTTAATTTGTGAGTCAATGTATTGTAAACATTATTGCTAAATAAAAAGAAGAAAAAGCAAAGTCCTTAGTATGTAGTGGAGTGTTTTGCCTACAGGATTTTTACACAATTTTAGTGCTTACCTCTAGGATGGGGCTCATTGTGATTTATTTCCCACACGTTGAAATCTCTGACATGACGAGGACAACTTTCCTGCAGACCCACGTTGCATACATGCACACGTGCCATCTTCTCCTGGAAACTCTTCATAGGATGTCAATGATTAGGAAGAGTTTAGATCTTGTAATGGAATTTTCTTCCCGCCTGGATGTCCCAGTTTCCGTTCCAGTTAATGATATAGAGCAATGCTTTCAAATAAAGTAGCCATCCCGGAGTCTGAATCCCTGGAATTCCAGACAGAGTCCCAGGGGGAGGTGGACTGGTTGAGCAGCTCTTTATAAAACTCTCTGCAGGTATTTAAAACAGAACATCAGCATCTAAGTCTCTAAGAACTATATTAGCTATTGGGAACACGCACTGACATAATTGCAATTTTCTGAGCAGACTGGTGCAAACACACGGGTCGGCCCTGCAGTGTTGACTTCTCTTCAGCTGGATTTACTTGTTTTCAGCACAAATTTTTGCTTTTTCTCAGACCCTCATTTCTTGCTCTCTCTCTCTGCCAGGGAATCACGTCAAAGTGGTTTTTGTAGAGTGTTTCATTCCATGTTTTATGTGAAAACCTGCTGCGGGTCTGTGCAAGGCAGAGACAATTCCAGCCCCTTGGAGTGAGGTTATGTAAGCCGTGGCTCCGAGTGGGAATGCTATTCCAGGCAATAGTGAGAGGGACAGTGCAGCTTGCGCCTTGTTTTGATGGGTGACACGGGCTGTGCGTGGTGATCATCACAGTTTCTGTAGCTAAAACGATAATTGCTCCATTTCCATCCAACATATAGTCATTAAGCTGCCCGAGCAGTTGTACCCTTCTGATGGGCTTTCCTGCCTCCCAGTCCTTGTCTCTTCCAAGCTTTATTTGTGACTCTCCCGACCTTTTCATTCCTCTAAGTCTCTCAAGGATCCTGTCCTCCCTGTGTTATCACAGCGTTTTTTCTTGTCCTGTTTGACATTTAATTTTTATTAACTGCCAAGTAGGCAAAGCTGTTGCTCTGCCTTATCCACACCATGTTCTTTTGCCCTCTAAGCAGTAGAGGTATTGCCTTGTGCAATATTCGGAGCACCTGGTTTTCCTTTGGGAATGCTGGAGAGGCAGAGGGGGAAGTTTCCCAGACCATGGTTAGCAGATTTGCCACTTCCTTAAATAAGGAATCTCTTTTTGTCACCCATTTAGCTGAAAAATCGCATTAATTCATACCACGTTAAGCAGGGATACAAGTAAAGGCACTTATTCATAACCACGTCCAGAAGAGACACACAGGAATATTTATGGGCGATAGAAATGAAAAAATCAAAGGGAAAAAAGCTCAATCTGCTGAAACACAAGTTAAATCAGAGGAGTCCCCTTCTCTTTCCATACCAGGTGGTTTTGGGGGTCTGTATTTTGTGTTTAGCTTTTGCCTGAGTGGTATTTCCACTACGGTATTGGTATTTCCATGGTATTTCCGATGGTATTTGGTATTTCCAAAGAACGGGGCCACATTTTATATAGTTCATTCCTTTGCCCAAGTTTTCCAGGAGGTCACAGCATAGATTCAATTTTCTCTTTCCCATTTCTCGTGGTATTATTTGATGAGTATTTGCCACTCTGTGTACAAGGGAATATCCAACGTCTGGAAGAATTAATGCCCATCTAAGGAGTGCTGCTTTGCAGTGATCTTCAGCTAACAGCTGTATTCATCCACACATGTTTAAATAAAGCGCAGGTTTCCTCCTTTTTCAGAAACCTTCTTTAAAAAGGAGGCAAACAACCAGGCTCTGCTTTTATGGAGTGAATTTGAAATTAAAATATGACGGTTTTGGGGTCATTCGGATTGTTAAGCAGCCCTTAGTTCTGATGGGGGAAAACAGGGATTGCAATCACGTTTAATTTGTAGGCTCAGGGCTTGGTTAGCAAAAGTATTAAGGATTCTTCCTTGATCTTCATTTTTCTATAGTGTTCATGGCTTTCCAGCACCGTCCCCAGATTAGTTCTTTGGAGCAGTTGTTCCCTATATTAATGCAATATATCCCATACACAGTAAAACAATCTGTTTGGCCTTTCAGCTGAAAAGGACCCCCAATCTTCATAAATATTGCACTGCAAAGGCCCTGCAGAGGGAATATGAGCCAATTCTTTCCTTTTTCGCCAGCTGTGAGCCGCTCCACGTGACGCGTGGTACAAACTCGCCGGGAAAGAGGAGCGAATTGAAACCACTGCCCCCGTGGGCTCCTTTATTAGACCCGAAGTGACTGTGAAATCCACAGGACACAGCTCATTAAAACCAGGCTGCCCATCTGCGACCTCCCGGGTTGGGAGGTAGAACCTGGTTGGAAAAACAGGTTGTTGCCTTCATTGTGGCATAACCCAACCACGGAGAATTTGGATAGCTGCTTATTAACCTGCTCCTTGTCAGGGCACGTTGCTGCTTGCAAAAAGCTTCTTGAAGAGAAGAGAAAGCAGAGCGTGTTACTGTCAAATGGATATTCCAAGGTTTTGGGAATTTTGGAATGTTTTGGAATTAAACACCCACGTATTTAACTCGGCCAAGTGGTGAATTTACACACTGCAGGGCTATGAAGTAGTTGCTTTATTCCTTATTGAGATGCTTTAAACTGCATTTGAGGATACAGCTCAACCCGTGCGTTGACCCAGGGTGAATCTATCAACAGGAGGAAGGTTTCACGGACAGCCTGGGCTCCTCCAGGAAATTGTGCCGTCCTTGGAGCCTCTGCTATCCGATTGTGGCCTTTGGGTAACTGAGCTTTGCTTTGTATGTGGAAAATTCAAGTTGCAGGAGGAAATGTCCTGGCTATTGTAAATCATCGTAGCTTTATAGAACTGTCTGAAGCCAGACGAGGCTGTAGCCTGTGGGAGACAATCTGATTTCTCCTCAGGCGTTAAGTCCTTCAAATTCATGTTTGAGCCTACAGTATCCAAGGGCTTTCTAGTCTGTTGGCACCAAAGCCATGGGAATCAGGTTGGGGAGGGAATTTTCACTTCAAAGTTGTTTGCATGGAAGAAAAGAACGGGATGGTGCTTCCAGGAGCTCACTACAGGTGCTAGTAAATGTCATTCTCTTGACATGAAAACACAAGTTTATTTAAAAAAAAATACAGCAAAAAAATTTAACATTTGCTACTTGGAAATAAATTTATCTGGAGATAGAGCTCTCCTGAAATGATTGTCTAATTCTAGTCTGACATTTTCTGTGAGTGAATAAACCTGCACCTTAATTCCACGCCTGTCAAAGACTAAATAATGCAACATCAGCTCTTTAAAGTGATTGCTGCAAATAAAGACCATAAAAAACGTAGCCTAGCTGGAAACTTGCGGTGAAATAATACATTTCAGAGAGGATTTCCTCATGCACCCGTTGCAGCAGGAAAGAATGGAATTGGGGGGAAAAGAGGCAAGATAAGAACACTTTTCTGACAAAAACGGGGCTTATTTGAAGCGTGTCAGGCTGCATTGCCAAAATGTATGTCTGTTTTGTAAGCTACCAACAGTCCATTTAGCATCTCCCTGTTTACAAACCAATTTAAAAATGCCAAAGAGATGAGTTTTGGAGTATTAAATCCACCCCAAAGACAAAAAAAGAAGGTAGATGAATAGAAAACTAGGGAAGGTGAGGTCTATTTTGGGGAAGTGTTTGTACTTAGAAGTGCTAGGGCCAATGTAGGCCCATTTGTAGGTGACATTGTCATCTGCAGACATCCAGATGCCCTTCAAGGGCACCACAGGGTGCCAGCCGGCCAGCCCTCCCTTGGCACGGCTCATCCCGGGAAAAACGCCTGCTTTATTTTGCACCTCTGCTATTAATATCCAGGGTGGAAGGGGGAAAGTGAGAGTTTTCAAACGCTAGGATCATTCTTTAAGGTCAGATAATATTTGACGCGGGCATTTATTTTTGTTCTAATTAAGTGCATGGTCCTCTTTCTCTCACAGTGGGTGATCTCAAGATGAAGAAGCTGCTGCAAGAGGCTAAAGTGACATCAGGAGCATTCCGATTTCAGACCTAATTGTCCTCTGGATGCTTTAGGAATGTTTCCAAGACCGCATTTGGGTGAGTAGCTGTCCATTGAATGGAGCAGACAAAACTCATAGTGATTGATGCAGGATAGGAGTGATGCCCGATTATGTCCTGCAAGGCTGACCTGACACAGTCAGGCCCTCTGCTCACTGAATCTGCAGCGATGCAGGAAAGATTCCTCAGAAATTCAATTGCAACTTTGCAATTTTGCAGTCCTAAATTGCAGGCACAGCTTGGCACTGTGAGCCTTAAACCCGGTTCCTAGCCCAGCTGCTCACGTACCAGCGGTTGGCACCGTGGACCCCTTGCTGGAAGGTTGTGCTCCCACTGTAGTAGAATGCAGCAAATTGCTGGAAAGTCACAATTTGGATGGATTAAATTCAAAAAAATTGGAGTCCTTGGCTAAGATAATGCCCTGTTTGGAGGGCTGTAACTCCAAGCTGTTTAGAAAGTGCTGACAGCAACTCTGGTTCCCGTTGCTTCCCCCCTTCCTTATCGGAGATGTCCAAAGGAGGGATCCTTCCCCACCTCTCCGCAAGGTTCTTGAGAGGTGCTAAGAGCAAACTAGGTGTGAACACCACATGGAGTGGGCACCAGTGGAGGTGTGAAAGCATTTGCTCAATAAAAATAGCCCCAGGGCTTTGGCAGAGAGAGGTGTCTCTAGCAGATAAGCCCTGCAGTGACTGACAAGTGTTGGGCTTGTGTTTTATTAACAGTCTCTTCCCCCTTGGATTCGGTGGGCTTGTTGTGGGGGAGCATTTTTCTGGGGTGAAACCCTTAGAAATTGGGCCTTATGTGGAATAAATGGCAAATAGCTGCCTGATTCTGATAGGAGCAACACTCGTGTGTATCCGTCACACTACAGATTGC